TTCCATCCTAATAAAAAGCATCAGAAATTTCTTGTGTAAAGCTGAACATCCATACATGTGTATCTTGACCAGTTAAGGAAACAAACTTTGCCCCTGTATACACATACAAGGGAAGCAGTATGGAGAAATATTTGAATGACTGACACTCCAGAGCACAAGCCCTAGGGAAAGGCCTCCCCTCCCAAAGAGATTCCATCTGAGAGTTCCACAAGTCAGAAAAACATTATAAAAAAAATTAAACTGTGCCATTTCCACCCAGGCAGCTTCAAGGCTTTCCATATTCAAATCTTAAATCCTACAATTCAAAGAGTCCAGAGCCTCCTGACTAGAAACCTAACACAGAATGGAAAACGTAAACACTTTTGTCTCTCCATTTCCAGTAACTTGCTGTACTTTTTGTTTGGTAACAGTACTTGCGCTTACCTGGTTTAAGCAAAACCATAAATAGAAGAGCACATTCTGCTTCCAAACAGTATTAATCAGCTAGAAAGTGATAATCCACCTGAATTAAATATTGTCATTACCAATTCTCCAACCTACATGCATGAGGAAGATTTAAGGCACCAGGCTGCAGATCCAGTACCATGCAAATTTGGAAGTGGTAGAAAGAGACATCACAATTGCTGGAACACTCCACTGGTAAGAATGAAACAAAACAGTTTCACCATGAAGAAGAAAGTGATTAAACCTGAGCAGAGATCAGAAGAGTTACTCAATGTTCCTTTAATTGGTTGAAGGATTCTGACTCACACCTGTAGGAACGGTTGAGCAGGAGAAAACAACTTTGATTCAAGTTTTATGAGAGAATAAAGATGATTGCCCTAGAGACTCAAAATAGAAAGAGAATTGTGCCTTTCATATTTTAAATTCTAGGAAATTTCTGTTCTTTCTCTTCTCATTTCTACTACGATAAGAAAACTAAGTATAATCAGTCTTACACCACCATGTTGTAAGAACCTGAATTTCTTTTTACCCATGCTGCAAATGTGCAGATCTCAACTGAGATGGCCACCTTTGTTCCTCAAATAAGTTATCTCATAGTATGCAGGTTGTCCTGGTGCAGTTTGATCCCAAATTGTCAATGGACCTCAAGTTCAGTATTGAGACCTCATTTCCCAGAAGTAATCTGGGAAACATTAAGTAATGAAGAGAGGCATAATAAAAAGGAACCATGTACCCACCAGTACTTGGCTTCCTGAGGATGCAGACCACGTGAAAGTTCCACAGGCAAAGAAAACTCTCAGTACTGCTTCCCCTTTCCAGTCCACATACGCCGAGGTACAATACTCCAAGAGAGCTCCTGGGTTTCAGTTCAGTCAACTCAGAGTTAGCTAGCTGCATGCTGGCAGAGACATTAGAAGCTTCATAGCAAAAAGCACAATTTGCCGCAACCCAGATCAACCACATTTTCTTCAAGTCCCGAGGTCTGTCCAATATTGTGTGGGTTTCCAAAATTTTGTGACAGGAGTATTAATAATAAAATGGCACAATCTGCTAAGGGAAGTTGTGTCCTAATGGCATGAAACAATTCACCATGACAGCTGCACTAAATAAATGGGCAAAGAATATTTTTTCTTCTGGTAACAATAAATTTGTTAAGGTGGCAACAAGCCGTCCCACAGGCTGAATTACTTCATTCGGATTCTCAGAGTGTTCCAATGATGTTGAAATCTCAGATTGGGAAAAACTGATTTTGGCTGGCGAGGTCACGTTCTCATTTAAAAGCACACTAATGACAAGACTGTTCTTCTGCAGGAAGCATACTTTCTAATGTGACTTTCAAATCATGATTCTTCATAATTTTTAACTATTCAACTGGATTAGATGCAGGCTTTTTGGGAATAGGTTAGTATATTTGTTTCAGTGTAATATTACAACTCAACTTTTCCAATTCAATCCTTTCATAAAAGCCACTACTGAAATCCTACTCAGGATCTCCATGGTATCTAAATGGTTGTTCAGAGATTAAAAGGCTTCAGAAAATAGTTAAAACAATGCCTTACAAACATACAATACCAGTAATGTATCTTGTTTACTAACAGACAGGCAAGGAATAATTAATGGACAGGGTTCACAAAGATGACTGACTGAAGCAAAGTCCAAAAACCACCAAACCCAACCTGATGGGTGAAAAGTGAAACTCTAACTTGTACCAACAGCAATTTTTCCCTTCTAAAGACGGGGAACTAATAATGCAAGGTAAGTTGTTTATCTGTGTTGATGTAAACATTTAAGAAAAAGAAAACCATGACATTTTCAGAACTGATTCTATGCTATATTTTCACTCTTTCATACCACAGTCAGACCATCGTGCTTAATGAGCAATCCTACAGTAAAACACAAGGCGACTGAAGATGACAACTAAGCCACTATTCACATAGCAGCAGCATGTCTTAAGTTGCACATTCCTTTGCAAAAAGCAGACGTACTTTACCATGAAACAGGTAGTTCAATATTCTTAAAAAAGCAGATGGTCTTGGGAAAAAAATGAAGTGCCATAAGAAATTGTAATTCACAGAAAATACTGTTTTAATAGTCAACTTTACTCAAGAGGTAGCAGCTCCATTCTGCAGCAGCTGATGATTTTTTCAGAGTTGTATTTTTAAATGTGATGCACTCCATAGAAACAGTCCAACTTAGAGTTAGCACAGTTGCATGCACGGTCAAAAATGGATCATTATCTGAGAGCACTGGATGCGTATTTTCCTACTTAGCCGTCAATGAAAGTGGGCATTCTTTCTGTTCAGCACCATGAAAGATTCTACTGCCAATATCAGTGAGCAGATGATGAGTAAGAACTAAATCAGGATCAAAACTTACTGGATTCTGTAGTGAAGGATTTTCAAGACAAAAGTGAAATCACTAGTCACCAACCTCTGACTACGAGCCAAGCATGGGACTACCTAGCTATTCTCAGTTCTGTCAGCAGAAATGATGAATTTTTCCTTTTTGCTCCATTTCTTCATTCACTGAAGGACCAGAGTACGTAGAATCTGTTACAGGTTGTAGTTCTGGCATAAGTTATTTTCTTTGAGAGCCACTTCCCATCAAGCAGATGAAGACTGACCTGCTAAACATTCAAATCAACTGAAACAAATGGCAAAGATTATGGAATGATATTTCTGTACTACAGAAATAGAAAAGTTCTGAACTTCAGGAAACCAGGAAAACAACAACAAAAAAACCCCAAGCCCTTCAGCCTGTTCTGATCAAACAGTTTGACAAACAGTCTGCAATAGTATGTTTTCATAACTGAAATTTTGCCTAAATTGAAGATTGATACATTTTCTCTCTGCTCTCATCAGAGTAAAGTATAACTTTACATGTATTCTCTGCTTATCTCTTTAATTCTACATGCACCACAGAATAAACAGTGTGACCCGTCTAGGTGTTATCTGCTAAAATAATTTTCAAAATTGTTAAAAACAGTAAACAGTATGGTCAGTTCTGTCACATGCTATCCATTTGCATGCTCCAGAAATATTATTTAGCCTGGAAAGGAAAAGGTTGAAAAAGATCTGGTTCAGCTATATTACCAAAAATACAGACAAAACTGTTATCAGTTCTTAAAAGTCAAGAAACAGCACCAACTCGCAACAATAGTGTGCCACTCCAGTTTTGTTATGGACAGCTGAGGATAGACTGAAACACGTTTTACACATACCTGAGAGAGTAACTTCTCCAAAGCGAAGCTTGCCTGATTTCCACAGCAATACACAATACTGATTTCTTGTTAACTGTTAGTTTCCCTTTGTCAACAATTCTCAGTCAGAATTCAAAGAGTACTTAGCAACATTTAAAAAAGAAAGTATATATGCTACATAATAGTATGTGTACACGGAAAATGCATATTTATTACCTTCCATTTTAAAAACGCTGCATTCAGGGAGCTTGATTTTCTTGTATGAAACACATTCAGGGCATAACACAAGTTCAGCTATTCCCCTCGTTTACCAAAGAGCTTTCAATCATGCACCACAGACAAGGCTGAGAAACATCCAATAAACCAAAACATTAGAATGGCAAACAAAACTATCTATTAGCACCACGGCTCTCCTTTAACAGCACGAACTACCACCACACCAGAACTAGTTGATTCACCAACCTAGACGCGAACTGCAATGTAATCACTCAGCAGAGCAACAAAAAGTAGCAGAGAAGGAAATTCAGGACTTCATTTTCTTCCCTCAGAAAGATCAGGAGAAAAAACTCAATTCAACAGTAAAACAGCAATTATTTTTGGATTAAACACCTTGCCTGGTTACAACATTGTTAACACAAGGCATCTGCTTCAAAACCTGAGAGGAAAAAAGAAAGTTTTCATCAGCAAACCTGATACTGTGCAGAAGTGATATACCAGCATCTATGAAGAATTTGTACCACTTTTAATAGTGTGGACTGCTATTGATTTATCTTTTTTAGCAAGCTAAACACTTTTATTAAATGAATAGAAGGGTATAACTTCTGGTCTTTGTTGCTTCTTTTAATGATGTTTGTCTATGAGACAGTAGACTTATGAATGGAATGAAATACCCTGATAGGGATCAGTGTTGACTAAAAGACATAGTAAGACCAAAATGAATTTTCTAGGCTGCCTTCCAGAGAATTCCGTAGTACCTGTTTTCAAGTTGAGCATTAAAGAAATGTTTTTCATACATTACTACCTTGAGTATTTCAGAGCCATCCAACAGAATTTATACTCATGTAGTAATGGAAATTTGACATAATTGAGAAACTAGGATCCAAAAAATAACAATTGTTCCTGCTCTCCAGGAAGAATGAGAACAGTCTGACTCCTAAAGGCCAGCAAAACCTGGGGCCTCAATGGAGCTGTCTATGAGAAGAAGAGCAGGTGATAAACCTAGAAGACAGGACACATTCCAGAATACAAGCACAGCACCTCTTCCAGGTAAGGACGGTTCTGAGCACGGTCAACATATGAACACAGACCACATTTAAAATGTCAAACAAAAACCATGCTATATGGTCCACCAAGAACACCAAGTTTATAGTGAAATTTATTGGTCTGCTTCCTAATACAATAAGCTACAAGGTACATACAGTATAAAACGAGAACGGCCACAAAGCAAAGGTTATAAACATTCTGTGACGGTACAGTGGAGGTAACATCTGTCTAATCCTTCCACTTTATTCCACAAACAGCAGCTAAAACTACTGGCCCTCCCCCTCCCTCCCCTCCAAAAATATTAAAAAGTAAACTGTCTCTCTCACTTAGGAGCAGCGGGATTTGTTGGTTTTTTTGAGGGCACTGGTTATCTGCCAACATCTCAAGAAAATTGCTGAAACTAAAGTAACAAAGAAAAACTGTGAAGGTGGGAGTGACATGACCCATGCAAGATGCTCATGACACCTTGGTTCACTTCTCCTCAGAGCAAATGGCCTGTAAAGAAAGGAAAAGTTTGTTACACCAAGTAAAACAGCAATTAACGTGGTCAGAGTTAAGATATAGTAAGCAAAATCTGAACTAGACAGGACTAGGCACACAGCTAAACTACTCTTTTAATGAAAACATAATCTTCCTGTTAATAAATTAGGTTTGGAGATTGACAGCTGACAATCCATCTCCTTTTATTTTTAGATGCTGTACAGGAGGGTGCACATTGACATGGGCACAGCTGACAGCTGACAACTATTATACAAGGCTCCAAAATGGAATAATCTTGTCTGGGAGAACTCTAACAATGACATGAACTGCAACCTCAACTCTTAAAAAACCTAAAAAGTATCAAGGCTATAAACATGCAGGAAGAGTGAATACTTACCTTAAAGGCACAAAATTCCATTTAACCACTTTTTCATATATACTTGGTGCGGTTGAGGGCTCTCTCAGCAAGATGACCACTTTCATCTGTTATTTTCTCCCAATCTGTTTGTCCAACAACAAAACCAATGGCCCTTTTCCTGTCTGCATCTTTTTTTTCTTCTAGATCTGCCCACCGCACCTACGGAGAACATACTATCAGTAGAACAATCTCTTAAGAAATCCCGAGACAAGTCTAGGCTTTCCACTGCAGATAAGAGTACAAGAATTCTAATTTGTACTCATTTGGTTTTGGAAAAGGTTAAGTATTAAGTTGTTTTCCAATGGGTAAAGATGGAAACTACACCAGTTACACTATTTGTAATTTAATATCCCAGGTGCTCCATGGAGTAGAAGAAAGGTACAGATGATTAGCCTTTTCCATTTCAATGTAATTCTGAGCGATGTGTAATTACTACAATTATTTCTCTGTTCAAAGCAATGCTTTCTGCAGGAAGAATTATCAAAGATTCATTTAGTGTCTTCATTTTCTGTACCACCTGTCTTTCAATTGCATAATGGAAACACCTAGGAGATGACTATGAAACTACAGAAAGACAGTGTTAAAGAGCAACTCAGCAATGAATGAGGGACACTTTTCTTCTCTATATTCTGTGATACATTTCTATTTAAATCTTTCCACTATTTCTTTACACTAAATAATTTCTTCATGCATTTGTTATCTCCCATCTTTATAGCTGCAGCCATCTCCTCTATGGCTCTTCATGGTCATGCAGATCACTTGCATTCATCCTGTTCAAACATATATGGTCACTCCCTCGCTCACAAACCCAGACACCAATGGGAGGGAGTGCAACAGGGAGCAGAGAGTGAGGGAGGTGATGATGAAGGGCTACAGTCCAGAAACTCAGCTGGAACACACTGTTTCAGGACAAGAAAAAACAGTAAGTGAAGGAGCTCTTCCTTGACATTCTAACCGATTAGTCCCATTCAGGCTGATTTGTTACTTGGGGACATAGCCTTACCGCCTTTCTGCCGGCATCTCCCTATTCCACTTTCTACCTGGACTTCCCTAGACATTCC